ATTTCTAAAGATGTTTCTGTTGATGGTGTCTTTATCCCATCTTTAGTTGATCACTGCCAAGATATCTGCAGTTCTGTAGCTTGCCACTACACATGTTAGTCTCTTGTTACCAGCTACTGGTTTGCTTCAGCTCTCCTCCATTTTCAGCTGCACTTGTAGCTTAAAATCTGCTTGTCTGAGGTTGTTTGCTGCACACACAGATGTCATCACGGCAGCTTGCTGATATAAAAAGCTGAACCCAGCTGGTCAAGTAATGAGAAAGACTGTCCTATTACACTATCACTGTGTATGTTTTTTTTAAGAGCCTGGGGCTGCAGACTTTTCAAGGGGAAAAAAATGAAGGGCGAAGAAAAACATGTTTTTCAGAATTGCACTCTCAACCTTAGAAAGTATCACAATAACACTATGTATTAAATTCACACTTACGACTTTTAAAGGTTGTAGTCCAAACTTTGTTGTTTTTTTAATGCTTGACTTGTCTCCCCTTTAAATACATTGCAGGGACCTCGGACAAATACATTGAGCGCCCAGATGTGCAATACCACCTTTTTTCCAGCAGAGTGAGCTGTTCTCCAACAACTGAACAGTGGAAATGCGTCATCACTTCATGAATGCGTCTCTAAACTGCATTCTGTGGCTAAACTCAGTCTCTTGTGTGCTGCCTTGATGCACAGATTTGTTGCTCTCAGTCACAGCAGCAACTGTGTCTCCCAGTTGTCGGTTAACATCCATATCTCTGCTGGTTTACAGGGGGAAAACCTGAGTTTCTCAAAGTGTACAGTATTTTTTCAGCACTTAGATTTAATATCTTTCAGCTTTATTTTTCCATTGTGATCCCACGTCAAAGGAAGATTTATATAGTTATGTGTTCTTTCACTTTTAATTGTTTTTGTTTAAGCACAAGGATGATTCGAGTTTAAGTTCAAAGAAAATGGTTGAATTCAAGATGATGTTATCAAGAAGTTAGCCTTTAACATGAATACTAACATTTTTACCATATTATACCCTCTACTGCCTCTTATTCTTATTCTGATGCTGACATGTCATAATAAATGTGGAAAAATAAGCAGTACTGACTGGATATTAAGTTGACTTTTGATATAGCTTCATTGAATGTGCATCAGAAACATCCAACCCTATGCCTCATCCATTCCTCCAACCATATACCACCTCCAGCTGCATTTCAGCTCTTACAATCCAAGGGCACAGGAGCGGCATGCACAACCTTGATTTAGGAAACAATGAGCTTACAGTGTATCCCGCCCGCTGAATGCGAGCCAAACCAGCCAACAATTTAATTCAGCAGTGCAAAGTTTCACTATTCTCCCATCAAGTCGGGTGATGATGAAAAACTTGATCTTGTGATGCAATCCAGAAAAGAAAACAAAAACAAAAAAAAAAACTCCCACTCACAGCTTCTGACAGAAAAACTCCAGGGCCGGTCTGGACAGACACTGCTTTGTTGTTTGCAGTTAATAATATTCGGTAAGAAGATGATACCCCTGCAGCTGTTGGCTCTTTAATCTCCTCCCTAACCTTTGATAAGGGGTCAAAGCCTCAGGGACCCTCTCACCTACAGTATCTCCCCTCTCATTTTAACATGACACCTGAGATTTGCCCTCTGCACACGGACTGCTGAGAAAAGGTTTTCCTCCATACTGACCCATAGTAAGAAGTCGTGGTTAACAGCCTTTGGCTTTTCAGTGAGAATCTGTATGTGTGTCACAACAAGCTCTTATATCATTACTGCCAGTTATTTATTGAAGTTGGTGCACAGTGGACGTGGTGATGTCTTTTTTTATTAACTATCACTTTTCCAGCTGTGTAAATCAAGTCAGAAAGAAGACACGTTTGATTTATACCTCGAATTTAAAGAACATTTCCGACACGCAATGTTTGATCTGAACTTGTTAGTTAGTAAGTTATTTAATTTTTTCCTCTTTAATGCATTGAGTTTCTTTACATTTGTACTGAACACCTTCAGGTTTTGCTTTATATTTCCCTACTGTATTCAAATTAGTGTCCTATTTTGAATCCCCTTCAGTGATGACATAACTGAAAAATAGATGTTAAAGTAACCGGTTTGACAATCAGGGTTGATGAAGCTGAATCCATTTAAACTAATTAACCTTAAAATTGTTTAAATATAATATTTGCACAAGATGGCGCCAATTAAGTGATTAAAGCTAATTCAAGAAGAAATGCATTGACAGTCCAAGTTCAACAGTGACAGGGCAAAATAAATCTTTCTGCATGTAGTTTAAAAAAAGTAATGCAAACAATAAAAACAAATAAAGCATTCAATCTAGAGGCAGTTTGAGGTTCTGTTACAGTAAACAATTACACTTATGATGGTAATTTAAGGACTAAGTATTCATTTTTTAAATAAAAAAAAGAAAATTCATAATTGAATGTGTCTGCAAGCTAAATCAAGTGAGTATATTGCTCATTTTGTTTTTACAGATACATTTATGCCTAATTATCTTTTTACAATTAAATGAAATTGTTTTTATGGTCTTTGTATTTTGACATAATTCAGGTAAATATATTGCCTTGGTGTATTCTACAACTGCACTGTATTTATGCAGACTTGATTAACACGTATCATCACTGTAGGGAATGGTGTGAATGAGGTCCAATTATATTTCTGTGATAAAAAACATTGTGAGAGAATTTGAGGTTATGCATGTAATTGCATGTATAAAATTTGTTGTGAAATGTAACACTGAATTACAGAGTAACAGTGCAGGGAAATTGATGCTTTAGATCCAATCAAACTTATAATCTTATATCTATAGATATAAGATCTATAATCCTATAGTCTCTGTCTCTCTCTGTCTCTCTCTCTCTCTCTCTCTCTCTCACCCCAACTGGTCGAGACAGACGACCACCCACCTAGAGCCAAAGGATCTGTCCTAGGTTTCTGCCTTTTAACAGGCAGTTTTTCCTTGCCCTTGTCGCCAAGTGCTTGCTCATGTTGGTACTGTTGGGTCTCTGTAAATAATGTTATAAAGAGTTCGGTCTAGACCTGCTCTATTTGAAAAGTGTCCTGAGATAACTTCTGTTATGAATTGGTGCTATACAAATAAAATTGAATTGAATTGAATTGAATTGAATTAATCAAAGTGGACTCTGGTAACAATTTATCTATCTATACATACATACATACATTCCTGCAGCATATTGTGGTTTGGGTTGTGTGGGAAACGGGCTAAGTATCCTAGAAGTCCTCCTCCCCAGCCACATCTCTACCTCCTCCTTCTCCTGGGACATCCCGAGGCATTCCTAGGCCAAATGGGATATATCATCCCCGTAGTGTGTTCTAAGTCCTCCCCAGCTCACCTCCAAGTTGAACATACCCGGACGACATCTGGGGAGGTGTCCCGGGCGCAACCACATCAGATGGCAGAACCCCCTCAACCGGCCCCATTCAGCAACAGAGCCACATTGGTTCTGAGCTTTTTGTCTTCCTGTATGTGAGTCAGTCCCTGGCCAAAGGAGCGTTTTTTGGCCACTTCTATCCTCGATCTCATCATCTCACTCATAACCGTAGGTGAAAGTTGCAATGTTGGAACGCAGATCGATGACTGGTAAAGTGAGAGTGTCAGCCTCAGACTCAGCTCCCCCTTCACCTTCAATAACGCCTGCATCACTATGGACGTCACACCAATCTGCCTGCTCCGTGTTACCCTCCCATAGTGAACAAGACACCAAGATACTTGAACTGACGATGAACAAAGGGGGCAATCCACCATTATTTGAGTTACCATGGTTGCAGTGAAATGAAGCTAGCAGGAGCACATTATCCAGAAAAAGGCAGAAATGTAGTTCACCATTGCATCTCTGGAAAAGACCTTCACCTTGCTTCCTGGAGTGTTGTTCTATAATATAATATCTTTAAATTTTTGAATTGCATTTACTGAACCAAATTATTACAGCTAGAATCAATGTTTGTATATTGCCAATGGATCAAATAATCGCTACCCAACTATCACATGTCTGCGGTTTCCATTGGCGCATCTGTCATCTTATTGTTTTGGTTCCGCTCAGCACCAAACAGCAGACAGACAAAGTTAGCGACTAGCTGGTAAACACAGTGGAGCATTGTGCAACTAAAGAGCCAGATATTTATCTCGGGAGGTGGTGGAGAACAAAACAGAGCTAAAAGTGAGAGTGAGAGTAAATGTTGGACCTAACCTGCAGTGGTTTGGTGGACACGATTCCAAATGACACACATGTTGCTCTACATCTGCTAGATGTGGAAGTATACAGACAGTTTGCTACCACATTCCCCATATCAACTTAAAAGATAGATAATATGTCAGGGTTGTGTTTACAGCTTGTCAAATCAAAGTGGAAGTGTACCAATTGAACACTGTTTTCTGTCCTCAACTCATTACCAAATTACAAAGTCCTTTCCAGGAACCTTCTTGTAAATTGCCAGTTAAATATCAGATACTTTATGCAGGACTTAGTGGCATCTAGCCATGTAGTTGCAGTTTCCTTGCCTCACCCTTCCCTTCCAAAGCTGGAAAAGAGAGACTATAGTGTATTATTGATATTATAAATAAACATTTTATTAATAGTAATAGCAGGAGTGTGTTTTAACATTATTCTTTAATTATTACTGGCTTACTACTGCTAGTATAAGTATTAAATGTTAACGTTGTGAAATGCACCGATGGCTGGCGCCAAAAAGAAGGGATGGAGAAAAAAAGAAAATCTGACGTCAGCCTGGTGCACAGATCCTCATCAAAAAACAATCAAAGCAAATCCCGACCCTGTGTTTCAAATGCAGATTTGTTTCCTTCACATGGCGGTTTGAGCACAGCAAAGCGCCTGTTCATGGATTTATGCGTCGCGCCTCCTCGTCATGACAACTAGCTGTGAGATTGAAATATTGCAAGTGGTGTCCTATAAGCGAGAGAGGCGATGAGACCGCACTGAGAGAGAGAGAGAGAGAGAGAGAGAGAGAGAGAGAGAGAGAGAGAGAGAGCTGTTGAAGCACAAGCCGTGGGATCCTCTTCAGTGCAGGCTCCTCCGGGCTTCAAAATAATATCACTGCATCCTCACATTGAAAGCATTCCTGGTGCTTTTTTCTTTCTAAAAGCATGAAGGCTAAACGGAAGATCCCCGTGCTGTTCCTCAGCCCGATCCTCTACTTTCAGTTAAGAGCGTCAGATAGCAAGTGAAACCAAGAGAGAGCACCACGCAAGCGCGCAAAGGAGAGATTGGACACCTGATTTTTTGCGGGGTGTCTTTAGAGCAAGCTATTTCACATTTTAAGTCTAACAGTCCGTGTTTTTTTTTTTTTTTTTTTGAAGGCCCCGGCGGTGCAGCGGGGGCAGATACCGTGGATTATTATCAGCATGGACAAATGGGGAAAAGAGGACAGATCACTGCGTTGACTTTTGAAGCAACGCGCAGAGTCTTGACGCTATAGCGTTACGCATTTATTTTACTGTGAGCGCTTTTTTACCCACCCCCCCCTTCCTCCTCCTGTTTGAATTATACTCGCCGCTGCATCTCAACATTATTAAAGTCAAATATCTGTGGATAAGGAACAGAGCAGGGTGTTGTCAGAGAGGGATGAGAGGAGGAGGGGGGCAGTATGAGGTGTGCTTTTTTTGGAAAAGCCGGAGAAAGACAGACACCGAGAAGGTGTACTAATGTGCGAGAGCCTGCGACGCGCTGCCCTCCTGAGAAATAACTGCGATCAGGGAAGAAATGGCCTAGTTAAAACCCCATCGACACACCGGCAGAGGATAGAAAAGAAGAATCGTGTTTAGATGGACGGGCCATCATCATCGTCATCATCATAATTCCGGTGCTCGCGTCGAGTCTTTTAGGTAAGCCATATGTTCCCCACCACCTCCTAAACGTGACTGGAGATTTTCTGTCTATCATGGGTTTTATGTGTGCACAGTCTGTACGCTTTGGTGACTTCGCACATTGCGCACGTTATTCATCTTGACGCACTGTCACAATCTAGTAGGGGGGGGGGGATGAGATTTCAATGTAAATCCTCGTGCCACTTTGTTGCTATAGCACATATTTTCTTCCCTTCAGTGGGAGCCTTCGATTGGCCTTGCCTGTTGATAAGCTGTCACATCCTAACGTGATCAGTCCACTTTGTGAATTCAGCATCAGCGTTTTGTCGTTTTGAACCAGGCTGCTAACGAGATGATATTTATGTGATTTAATTGGAATCAAGTAATCATGGAGACTGTCAATCAGACTTTCTCAATTGGGCTCCAGTAGTGTCCTGTTCCCCCGTGGTTGTGAAGGCATAGATTATTTTCATAATGTTTTCTATTGCATTTATTGGTGACAGTATTACCCTTAATTAGACACACATGCTGCTATGCTGCAATATAACTAATCTCAACCAGAGTGTGTGATGGGCCTTGAACTCAGAAGATGTCCTCTCTAATGAACAAACCCCACAACAGCTCTGACACACACACACACAGTGTGCACAAACGCTCACACAAGACACACGAAGCCTGTGCCCTAGAAGATGCAGATAGGATTGTGAATTAAATGCACACACTCTGATGATCCGAGGAAGGCTCCATTAATATTCAGTGGTGGTTGGGCAGTGCTCAGTTAATGGCAGACAACAGGACCACTGTTCTGACAGGTCATGGATGAGAAATGGTATGTTTTCATTTTTAGGGGAATAAATGCGTTTTTGTTTTTTTTCCCCCACATAAAGCGCCTGTAGCTATGGAGGAGTGACATTTAAAATCCATCAGAAAACCAATAAAGTCATTTTGTAGACTTTTGCAGAATTTGGTATTATCTTTCATGTACTGTTGGAATAGCTGTGATTACTTTCTTAGGCCGGCATCGTGTCAACCTGGTAACGGGCATTTGGACACTTGCTCAAATGCAACAGAACACGACTGAAGACTTGGAAGACTTGCATTGGCTTCATGTATGCCATACATTTGTCTAATTCAGTGCATTATTAATCCAAATATTCTCCTTACATATAAGAGAAAAGTACATGGTAGATAGAGCAAAGAATGGTGACCAGATTGGCGAAAATGTACCCGGAACACCAAATTTCAATGTCTCTGGAACGTTTAAAACATTTATTCCTTTCACGCTAATAGTTGGTTTTCTATTTCTAAAATTGATCAGATTTGTCTCTACTTACTCACAACCAAGTGGGCCATTAAGATTTTGTGGTATTATATTATTACTATATAAAAGGATGATCCTTTGCTATACTGACATCATACACCTACTATAATCAACCAAGCAGTAGTTATATAATAGTTATACGTGTACTTTAACTTTTAAAACTGCCAGCATTTTTTTTGTTTAATCTTATTAAAAATATACTGCTACCATTCCCAGATTACTGTATCCAATAAACTACAATAAAGGGCCAACAAAGCTAATGTTTGTGGTGAGCACAATGTCATTTGGTTTCCAGAGATAAAATAGAAATGATAATGGAATGATATAGAACAAATGGTGGCTTAATGGATTGGATGACAACATGAAGTGGAGACTTACAATCCAGAACAAAATGTATTGAGTCTTAATGTTTAATGAACTATGTTTGGGTCATTTGTGGGTGAGCAAGATGAAGTATCTTTACGTTCAAAACCATAGCTTTCTTAGAGGAGGACAGGGTTGCTGTCCAGATATTGTACAGTTTATGTACAGTAGCTAAAGTATATGGTGTTTTTAAAAGTGAGCAGCCTTGTCAAACACCAGTGCTTATTTCCATCACCAAGGCCCAGCATTTAAAAGAGAGTCAGATAATTTTACCTTCATATTGCACTGTCCGAAATATTAGGGATTTGTTATTCTGGTTCGTGGTTAATACATTTTTTTGTTAAAACTCAGTTTTGAATTGATCGCCTTATTATGGATCTAAGCAAGACTCACAAGCCAGTCTCTAAACGCTTCGCTCACGAGATATTGAGGACTTTCTCCCAGCTTTTGCTGCTAAAACTGTCTGGAAACAATTACAGTTAAAAAAAAAATCTGTATTGCAGAACCAATCCAAAGTCTTTTGGTCGGTGCAGTTGGTGAAATGGCCCTTTAGTCTGCTCCTTGATGCTGCTGTGCTGTGTGAATTAATACAATTTTTACATTTTAAAAACAAAATTTGCTGTTCCACTGAGTCAACAAACCTTGCTTTGAGACAGAATGAGCTAATATGAAAAACTTACTGTAAGTTAGCTGTTTGGCCTTCAGGCTGCTGCTGCTGTATGGCCATAGCCTGCTTGCACTAAACCACTACAGCTGTTGGATAGTATTAATATTATAATATTGTATTATAAAACGTTGGTGGTGAGTGATGGTAAACTGGAATGTAATTTGTTTATTCACCATCTGAGTAGAAACGAAAGTATAATTAAATTTTAGTGGGCTTAAATTATATAATCTGTAGTGAAATGTTGCATGAACAATAACTGTGAATATGCATGTGATTTATGAAAGGCAGCAATTTTGCCTACATGTTTTACTTCAGCTTGTTTCCTTCTCCATTTACTTTGAACTCCATAGTCTGTTGTTTGGTCTCTGTTTTTTTCCATTTAAAGTATGCGCAGTACTGTAGATACCAATGTCACAGTCATTACATTATTATAATCAAGGTGTCACCTAGCAATGACGCATTTGCACATTTAAAAGTGCAAAAATATGATATACTCTCACATAATTATTTATTCTTACACAATACAGTTGCACTCAAAGTGTCTTTGCCATAACAACAGTAGATCCAGGCTGTGCCTCATTGAGGAGTCTGGAGAGCTTTTCTGTTCTTGACTAAACACAGTCTTTGCAGGTATCACTGGTAAAGTCAGTCTAGTATTTTAAGCCAACGGATGTTTGAATAATAGTTATCCAGTCTCAATGTACACTCTACGCCTGAAACATTGAAGAATGTAACGGATGCGTGTGCAGCATATGTATGACATGCTTGTAAGTGGGTATAAATGAAAATTTAAGGGATAAAGTGTGGGATAGCACCCTGTGACATCACATGACGCAGGGCAGAGATATTTAACTGGCAAATCAAAGTGAGGGAATGACATTACCGTTGTATCAAATTGTCATCAGACCTTGCCAGAACCTTACCTGATTCATGTTTTTTGGGGGCGTTTTTCTGGGGTTCTCGTATCATTCTTGATTTTCACGTTACAACACTATGAATTGTGTCAGTCCCTTAAGGAGAGCCCTGTGCACTTACAAAAAGTGTGTTTCAAGGGCTCAAAAAGTCCACAGGAGAGCCCTCCTGTGCCCAGCAATCTTTTTAGTGTGGGACTTTACTGAGCTCTCAGAGATGTATCAAGAACATTCTTCAAAATTTGTAATTTTGGTTGGACTGAGAAGTTGGACAATGGGATTGGATGAAAACTGTAACAGTGACTTGTCCCATTGACTTGCTGTCCAGAAAGCTGCAGATTTATGAAAAACAGACATATTAACATGGGACATCACATGTGACTTTTTAGATTTTTGAGTACTGCCATGTTGTGTTTTTTTGTTTGTTTTTGTTGTACAATTATCATGAGGCAAGAAAATCTAGACTGAAGCCCTAAACAGCATGAAAAATCCAGCCAATATTGCCTCATATTTGAGCAGCTTGGAGGCTTGGCGGTTGTTACTATCCATACATCGTTTCACCATCTGAACAGCCTAGTTTCCCACCAAGCTACAGCATCTTTACATAAAACATTTACTGTACTCTGGGTTAATGGTGTAGCTGCTGCAATGGAGGCTTGGAGATTTTAATTTCTGTGTGAAGATGTTAAGTCAGAGGAAAGGGAGGTTAAAATGACCCAGCTCTCAGCCACGTCACAACCAAGGAAGAGAAAAGCAGGAGAATAGCTTGACCTGACCCATTATCCGTGAGCAAAGTAAAGCTGGAGAAACGCCTGTGCAAATGCCATGGTAACCATCTTGTGTAACCTCCTTTGAACAATATCACATAACAGTCCAGCCATGAGATAAGCCAGGATAAGTGCCATTCTGTCTTGTGAAGTCTGGGAAGAATTTCACACCAAACCCCATTAAAATATCTGGTAATTTAATGTGTCTTTTATTAGCGACAGAAATGCAAGCCCATTAGAACGGCACACGTGACCTTTCCTGAATCGCAAAGTTCCACCCTTCAGTCTCATCAGACATGATCCATTAAGCAGCTGTAACATTTAATTCTCTGATATGTTTTGGGCAGTGATACACAAGCTGGAGCTGCCATTCAAACATGGTTTGTTTTAAGCAGTGGTTGTGTATCATGGAGCTACACTGATCATAACTCACCTTGCTTATGACACAGCACATGCATTAGGCAGCTGGTGCTCTTTAGAAAGGTGTGGGCAGTGTTGACATGAATTGGAAAGATATGCATTTTGAAATGTATCCTACATGATGAATTAGGGAGGCAACCCATTTATCATTAGTTAAATGTCATAGTTTCTACATTTTCAGATGGGAATGCGACAGCCAGTTAATGTTGCAGTATAAGGTTAGCTAATGTTAGTTTCACTGGCTTGGGGGATACAGCAAGGAACTTTAACCTGAACAAATATGAGTTATGGTGCTAAAGGAAATGTTAATAACCATGGCCCCCACCTTGTGCAGAAGTGAACTGTCATCCAGTGGAAAAATACACCATTCTTGTATGTCCTTCTTGTCTGGTGGTTGGCAGTGCACTGCAATGCCTTATGGAAACTCAGTGTAGCTAATATAAATTTTGAGATATAATCAGGGGGAAAATTGAGGGAAGACTTACATGCGTTGACTGTAAACATAAAGAGACTCGGAGTCTGAATCATTATCAAGATAAACCGAAAGGCAGCATGGCTGTAAGGAAGAC